TAATTATCTTGAACTTCTTAATGATAAAGAAGATTTTAATATAATCATTAATGTTGGTGAATCTCCAAATACAAAAGTATTCCGTGCACATTCGGCAATTTTAAGATACAGATCTTTATATTTTCATGAATTAACGAATATCCATAAAGACGAGAATAATATTAAAAATATTAATCTAAAAAATGTTTCTATTCAACATTTTGAAATTATTATCAAGTAAGCTATTTTAAATTGTATTAAGTATGATTCATAATTTATATTACGTTATAAGAAAAAAAAAACTCTAAAATATTATAAATTTTTATACAAAGATATATCTATGGAGGAATTGTCTTACTTGAAAAACATGATCCATCATTTATTTTTGAGCTTATGCTTAATGCTTATGAATTTCTTTTTGATGAATTGGCCAAACAACTTCAAACTTATTTAATTGAAAAGGAATCTCATTGGCTTCGTTTACAATTTAATCGTATTTATCAAAAAAGTTTCCAAAATAATAAGCTTCAAGATTTACAAAACTGGTGTAATGATATTGTGGTTAAGTACCCTAATAAGATTTTTAAATCTGAAGATTTTTTCACACTTCAAGAAAACGCTTTAGTCTCACTTATTAGTCGAGATGATTTACAAATGGAAGAAGTAAAAATTTGGAATCATGTTATAGAATGGGGAGTTGCTCAAAATCCTGGCCTACCATCCGATCCTGAAGATTGGTCTAATGAGAATTTTATAGCTTTAAAGACTACTTTACAAAATTGTTTATCTCATATTCGTTATTTTCAAATGTCTGGTAAGGATATTATTAACAATGTACAACCTTATCAACAAATTCTTGAGAAAAAACTTTGGAAAGATATTATGAAAAAGTATATGGCAAATGAACAAATATCCTCTACCGTTCTTCCACCTCGTGTAGTTTTAAAACCAACATTACCGACTAGAATCGCTGAACCATTTTCAAATGTTATTAATGAAGCACATGCAGCTGAAATTGCTTCATGGGTTGATATGAAAAATAATAAGTATTTAATAACTGATAATCTATATGAATTTAAATTACTTCTTCGTGGAAGCAGAGATGGTTTTACTAATACTTCGTTTTGGAATTTGTGTGATAAACAAACTCATCTTGTTGTAGTTATTAAGGTTAAGGGTACTGATGAAATTCTTGGTGGGTATAATCCTATTGGTTGGGATAGTCAATATAACGGACAATATAAGAGCTGCAATGAGAGCTTTATTTTTTCATTGAAAAATGGTAATATTCAAAATTCTATTTTAAGTCGTGTGTTGTATCAGCCTATTATATTAAAAAATTTCGACCAGTGTGCCTGATTGTCTAATTGCAATTAATTATACATGATTGTACGTGATTGTGCGTAATTGTATGCAATTTCTCAGTGAATATTTTTTAATTTGAATTTTATGGATCTATAGAATTCAAATAAAAAAAATTTAGCAAATTTGATTAAGTGGTTGCTGTGATACCATTGCTCAAAAAAAAAAATCAATATTTATCATTAATCTATCTATACTATCTAATTCAGAGTTTTTACATTTTAGAAGTTTTGATTGGATGTTTTAAAAATAGAATAGATGTGTTCGTAAATTTTTTTTGTAAATCAGGGAATGTCAGGGAACATGTCAGGAAACATGTTATATACCTGTATTATGGCGATTATGAGGATTTCTAATTTAACAATTAAAAGCATTGCACTGTTAAGTTTATACCGTAACTATACCATATCTATACTATATATTAATTAGATTACAAATATTACAATTAACTATATTTGGATTTTAATACTACATTTTATTAAATAATCATCAAAATTAAAAGAAGGATTATGAAAATATCATGCAAGAATGATTTTCATGATTTTGTGATAATATCATTTGTTGAAATTATGCTTTGTCATGTTATGATTTTTAATATTACCAAAATGTAGTAATGAGTTAATGTATTATGCATTAATGTAATATGTATTGATGTATTATGCAAAACAGAAAAAATGAATTTGATTGTAATTATCAATGAGCAAACAGATAATATTTAAAAACGAACAGACGTAATTGAGATATATAATACTACATATATATATATATATATACCTGAATATAAATCAGAACGTGTTAAGACTTAAAACAATAAAAAAATTTAATATATACCTGATTATAAATAAGAATATGTTGAAACTTAAAACAATAGGATTTAAAAATTAATTGTCATTATAATAGAAAATTTTTCATACTAAAGTAACCGAAATATATATATATATATATATATCTAATGCTAAGAGAGTTTATTATTCAAAAAAATTGTATTGACTAAAATCGAAAACACGTCGAAAGCATGTATAAATAAACTATAAAATATAATAAAAAAAATAAATATATAAAGAATTTATATATGAAGAATATAAATAAACATGTTATAGAGCAATATTTATATATGTATTTGTAAGAACTATAATGAGTCCGAACCCTAGCTAAATTAGAGCAACTAGAAATTCCAGACTCCCAGTTTTAACCTTGGATTCAATTTCTACTTACAAAATATATTGACATAAATGTGTAATAAATGCATAATAGACTGAGTTTACCCTTTAATTTTCACTTGCAAAATATATACTATAGCGTACTGACCAAAGTATCCCTCTTTTTCTATATCCCCCCCTTGCAAAGTACTCGGTGCAAAACACGAGACCTCTATTAATTAAATATAGGTTTTTTAAAAATTTTTAGACTGCTTATTGTAAGTGCAGAATATGTATATGCTTGAAATTTGTTTTTCTTGCGGCACTGGCCCTTTGCTGTATAATATACCTGGGTCTTTTGTAAGATTTTTGTTGGGTATTTTGTATTAGACCCCGGGTCTTTTGTTAGTGCACTACGATATATATATAAATGTGTAATAAATACATAATAGATTGGGCTTATGCTTTAATTAAACTTAATAAAAAATAGAACCTGAAAACATTAATACGAAAATGGAAAATAGGAAGAAAGTGATTAAATTGTTCTGAAAAATGAAAATAAAAAAAATAAAAACATGAAAAAAAAACATTTATATAAATGTAAATATATTTTACTTACAAATATAAAAAAAAAAAAATTTTGCTTTGTTAATTACTTAATACACATATATGTATATCTGCATTCATCAGTTAAAAAAATGCCTCCTCTTCGTAACTTACTCTCGAAACCAAATAAAGATACTCACACTAATAATTTTGTTTGGGAGGAAAACTTTGACGAGAACGTGCTCTGAGAAAAAAACGACTAAGATTATATAAAATCGGTCTTGATTTTCAAGAAACAACTTCTACTATTCAGCACAATTTAGCATCCTCTCGAATTTGTTTTTATTGTGGTGCTAAGCTTTTTGCGGGTGAAACAGAAGGAATATGCTGTATATTGGGAAAAATAAAGTAAGTAATAAAAAAATAACTAATAAATTTTAAGTAATAACAAAAAATAACAATAATGATAATAATAATAATAATAACTATAACTATTAAAAACCTAATTTTTCAACGTAGACTAGCACCAGATAATATTACTACACCAATGAAAAATTTATTTACAAGATATGATAATATAGAAAATGAATTCTGTAGTAATATTTGTACCTATAATTCATTTTCACATTTACGTCTATAAGAATCAAATTGGATGAAGAACTTGCTAATGGTAAGAATAACTAACAATAATAAAAAAAAAAAATAATGAAAACCGCATGCTAATCATTTAAACACTTATTATGTAAAGACAGAATATATACATTCCAGATTTATGGAGAAATATATCATTCTATAGAATTTCTCACTTCTAATAATAATGAAAAACCAAGATTTATGCAACTATATATATACGACACTTAACACGAAACAAATAATTGACTTGCCATTATACCCAATCTCCACCAAGACACTTTGGAGACCATAAAAACAATACTAGATCAATTTAACCCATTCGTTGCTAATTTACGAACAATCGCTTTTCAAAATGACATGACGAACCTTCGACTTCTTATCAAGGCTGATCACGGATTAGATTAAAGAACATATAATACTCTAACCACTTCACAAGTCACAGCTATATGGGTATCATGAAGCGAGATATTATAGTACAATCAAAATCTCAGGGCTTATAGTTTGTCTCTGAATTGAGTGGTTCGTGCGATCCATTACAATATCTGCTTTTTTTCCCGAGAGGTAACCATGGCTGGCATCCAGGAATAGAGCAAAATGCATCACAAAAAAAGGTAACAGCTAGACAATACTACGCATACAAATTACATATTCGTCAAGATTCTTTATCATTACTTCATTATGGTGGACAACTTTTCCAACAATATGTAGTTGACAATTATGTCAAGATCGAGTCTGAACGTCTTAATTACCTAAAATTTAATCAAGATAAACTTCGCAAAGAATTATATCAGGGTCTACATGATTCCTATAAATCTGGAATTACAAACACGTCTGAAATAGGAACTCGAACAATTTTACCTTCATCTTTTGTAGGTAGTCCTCGAGATATATATTAGTGATATTTAGATTCAATGGCATTAGTACAAACTTTTGGTAAACTGAATTTGTTTATTACTATTACCTGTAATCCCAAATGGTATGAAATAACTTCTAAACTATTGCCAGGACAAACCTCACAAGATAGACCTGATATCACAAGTAAATATAACAATATTAATTAACCATCTCATAAAAAAAAAAAAAAAAAACAAGAAAATTAAACTAATCTAAAAAAAAAAATTAAATTTAAATATTAAAGTTAGAATATTTCATGCCAAACTTAATGAAATAATGAAAAACATAATTGAAAAGGGTATATTCGGCCAAGTAATTGCACACATATATGTAATCAAATTCCAAAAATGTGGGCTCCCACATGCTCACTTATTAGTAATACTTTATCCTAATGACAAACTTCGAAGTGCCAATGAATACGATTTTATTGTCTCTGCAGAAATTCCAAATTCACAAACTCACCCAAGGCTATATCAAGCTGTCGTACTTAATATGATATACAGTCCGTGCAGATATTCCAAATCTGAAACACCTTGCATGAAAAATAATGTATGCACTAAATATTATCCAAAAGAATATGTTTAAGCAACAATAGAAAGAGAAAATTCATACCCAAAATATCATCGCCGTAATGATGAAAAAAGAGTGTTATGTCGAAGAAAATAGTTAGATAATTGTTTTAATATATAAATATAACTGTTATATCAACGTTGAAATATGCTCAAGCATAAAATCTATTAAATATTTGTATAAATATGTGTACAAAGGACACAACAAAGCTGCACTACAAATAATTAATGAAAATGAGATCGAACAATATTTAGATGCAAGGTGGATTTCGGCACCCGAAGCTTGCTGGCGGATTTTTGGTTTTAATATATCACAAATTAATCTATTGGTATATCGACTACAAGTTCACCTTCCTCACCAACACTTCGTAATATTTCCGCAAAACACCAATCTTTACAACCTAATAAATGATAAACAAAACGAAAAATCTATGTTAACAGAATATTTTAAAATGAATAACGATGATCCTGAAGCTAAAAATTATTTATATTGTGAATTTCTGCAGTACTATGTTTGGAATAAAACTTCTAAAAAGTAAACAAAGCGCAATCAAAGAAATATAATTGAAAGGATGTATATAGTAAACCTGAACGAAGGAGAAAGATATTACTTGCACCTCCTTCTCAATTATGTAAAAGGAGCCACTTCATTTTCTGACCTAAAGAATGTTGGAGGATATAGATATGCAACTTTTCAGGAAAGTGCACTATGACACAGGATCATAGAAAATGAAAACCTGTACCATAATGCAATGCGAGAAGCTGCGCTATTTTGAATGCCATCTAAGACGGCTATTTACAACAATACTAATATTTTGTGAACCCAGAAATGTTCGAGAATTGTGAAATAAAAATCTTATAGCCATGGCTAAAGACTTTTCAAACAGAGGCATTCCTGAGGGCCAACCTCAAATTAATGCAATTTTACTTCATATCAAAAGTATTTTGGAACAACATAATAAAAGTCTGAATGAATATGACCTCCTACAACTAATTTACCTGAACAAAATCAAAAATATATACCAAGACTAATACAAAAGGAACTAAGCATTTTAGTAAAAGATGAAGATTTAGAAAAAATAAACTTATTAAATAGTGAACAAAAGTTGATATACTGTAAAATCATAGAATGCATTAAAAAAAACCAACCCGGCATTTTTTTAATAGATGGTCCTGCAGGCACCGGTAAAACCTTCCTATACCTTTGTCTTCTTTATAAAATTCAATTGCTATCATTTATTGCACTTGCTACAGCTTCATCTGGAATCGCAGCACGCATCATGCCTGGAGGGCAAACTGCCTATTTCAGATTCAATATACACCTAATACTTGATTCTAGTTCAATATGCACAATTAGCAAACAGAGTCAACTAGCATCGTTAATTCATCTATCAAAATTAATAATATAGGACAAAATTTCTATAATAAACCGTTACACCGTAGAAGCCTTAGATATAACACTTAAAGACTTAATAGAGAATGATCTTCCATTCAGTGGAAAGCTAATCATTTTTGGTGGTGACTTTCACCAGATATTGCCCATCATACCAAGAGGTAGCCACGAACAAATAGTAAATGCCTCTCTAAAACATTCTTCAATTTGGTCAAAAATGGAAATTTTTCACCTTTGTACTAATATGAGAGTACAAAACAACTATGACTATAATGATTTCAAAGATTACTTACTAAATATAGGAAATGGAACTGAACCAACTATTAAAATGATATGATTCGTATATCTAAACAAATAGTTCTTCCTTGAAGAAATGAAGAATCTTTATAAACATTAATTGAATACGTTTATCAAGACCAAACTGATCGCTATTCAAACCCTTCCTACTTTACAGAAAGAGCAATCCTCACAACTAAAAATGAAAATGCTGAACCCATTAATAATATAATCCTAAACCAGATCCCTAGTAATACTGTTACATACTGAAGTTATGATTCTGTTCCTGATAACACACATGGACTTTATCAACAAAAATTTCTTAACTCAATAACACCTAACGGCCTCCTTTTGCATGAACTGCACTTAAAAGCAGGCACATCGATCATGTATTTGCGGAACTTAAATCCAACAAATGGTCTATGTAATAGCACAAGACTGATTTGTCAAACATTTCAACCAAATGTAATAGAAGCAATAATAACTACTGGTAGTCACAAAGGAAACAAAGTATTCCTCCTTTGAATACTGTTATTCCCATCTAATAATATATGGCTTTCCTTTGTTTTGAAAAGAAGACAATTCCCAATCAGACTTGCATTCACACTTACTATCAACAAATCCCAGGGTCAAACTATACCCTGCATAGATATTTACTTTCCTGATCACATATTTATGCATGGTCAACTTTACATTGTATTTTCACAAGCTCAATCACCACAAGACATTAAAATATTGGTAAAAAAAGGCCAAATTCCTGGAATACAAGAAGTCTTCACATATAATGTAGTTTATAGAGAAATTCTATAAAAACAAATTTCAAATAAGAAAAAGAAAGGAAAAAAAAAAATTAATACTTAAATAATAAAAAAATAATATTTTTTTATTAAATATAAATTCTATTGAAAAAAAAAAAACTTTTATTATATTAAAAACTTTACATATATATATAAATATATATATAAGTATAAGTATATATAACAATAAATAACATAACCTAATATGAATTAAAATTGACACTTAATCACATATGACTAAAATCAAAAGTAATACACAATACAATTCAATAAAGCATAATAATGACTTCATTATTTTTCACAAATATATAAATTATTAAAATTAACTCACAAATTAATTACATCAGTAACTTATGCAAATTTTGCAATTCATTAATTATTACTATATTTTTCATCACAATGATTACATCATTATACTATTTAATATGATCGACAATCATAACTATCATATGAAATAAGAGTTCAATCAAACCAAAATTACTAAAACTAATATATTCTCTTTTACTCATATCGATATATATTTAATTATTAAGATTTTTTTTTATTTATTGTAAAAAAAAACAATATAATGTTACTTACACCGTAAAGTAAATTAATATTCAAAATTCGTGATTAGCAAATATATATATAAAAAAAATATATTAATCTCATGTTAAACTCTCACATTTGTTACTTATTATTTATTTATTTATTATTTTAATTTTATTAAGTACAGCAAACAACTCAATAATTTATTATTCTTCAAATAACAAGATAACATAAAAAAACATACATTCTTAAAATCATTCAAATATAAAAAACAAAATAAACATAAGAAAATAAAAAAAGAAAATATTTATATGCAATATCATAAAAATAAAACAATACAACTAAGACCAAAACACATTAGAAAAAAAAAAAAGAAAACACATATTATATATATATATACTACTTCTTATCTTTACCAGAAACGTATAACCTCAAATTATGATGTAAAGAGCGATTTACCCTTTCTATTACTCTCTTTTTTACACTTGCTATTCACAATAGAATCCAAATATTCTTCACCTTGATCGCTATCAACTAAATTATCACTTTTCTTAGTACAAGATCCACTTACAGACTCTTTGAAATCTTCAGTCCAAGTACATTTTGATGAAGAACTACCTGATAAATTTGATTCATTTCCACAAACATTATCACCAAATACTGTAGACATCTCATTATCAAACCCACTTCCTGAAAACTCTTTAGCAGAATTATCACAATCTTCAACACGCATACATCTCAATGAACGAATATCATTTAAAGAATCTGATAAAATAGATTTCTCAGTATGGTCACTAGAAATTCCAATTTTATGTTCAGACCTTTCCTTCAAATTTTCAGAAACATTCTGGTGAGTAGCTATAAGTTTAGAACAAATGGTATTTCTAGGAGAAGAAAAAACCTGAGAATCAACATTATTAGGTACAACATTTTTTTTATAAAGAAACTGAGTATCAATATGATTAATGCTATTTGCATAGACATAAAACTCATTATTAATAATTTCCATTTGTCTCATGACAAAAATAAGCAACTTATGAGGCTGAACATTATCCTTCAGATGAACAAAACACGAGTTATAATACGGGAAAATGACCTTTATAATAAAATTATGTTCTTGACCAGCATAATCAGTCACCAATACTTGGACGATAGCATCATCTTTTATTTCTTTTGGAATTTCTTAAGGAACCCCAACTAGAGATACTTTTAATGCATATTTATTTGATACAGCAACTTTACTTAAAATCATCACATAAGTAGATGTAGAAACCATCATCTAAAATTAAAATAATCATTAAATTAAATAAACATATCTATAAACAAAGAAAATAAAATAAACAAATAAATAAACAAATAAAATATCAAATACCTTCACCTTTTCTTTCCTCCATAAAACCTGGGAACAATTTTACCTCCAACAGAGAAGAAACCATCTTTCACAAAAACAGCCTGCATCTTAGAATCACTTTCATCCAAATTATTCGGCACAAAAAAATACAACTAAATATCATAATCCTCACGCTCCACTGGATATGTACCCAGAGCCCACACAACTAACAAATTAGTATCTTCTTTCACATGCTGTCTCACCAACTTAATTCTAACAATCATATCTATGTAATACAGCATTGAAATTAAAATTTAAAAAAGAAAACTTTGCAGAACAGAAAAATCTAAAATCTAAAATCTAAAATCAAAAATCATTATATATATATATATACTGTATTATATTATATAATATAAAACAATCTAACTTTACTTTAATGTGCATACACCAAAACTATATATAAAAAAAATATAATCGCTAATTAATAGCCAAATTGAATCAAAATAATACAATAAACAAATAACCCTACCAAAAATAAATAAACAAACAAACCACGATTATTCAATCATAACCAAATTAAGAAATACATTCATGTCAATAATTTCATAATCGAATACATCTTCAAAAAATAATTAAATCATAAATACGCATAACTTACACATTAGATATCACAAACACATGTATTCGTACAATTAAAAACTCAAATCAATTTAATTTTACAATATTTATAAAGTTTTAAGTACTTTATTTTTAAAATAATAGAACTACTACGAATAAATAAAAAATTAAATAAATAAAAACTTTTATTAGAGTTCTAAAATTCCACAATCAAAAATAATCAAAATTCTTTTTTAAATTTAGAAAATTTAGCACAATAACTACTTAAAATTAGGTTATCACCATGCAAACTTCTCTAAACCAAAAGAAAATTTTAATTATTTTTAATAGCAAAACCGACTATACTAATAAAACTTTCTATATAGTTCTTTTTTATTTATTTGTAGTAGTTTAATTTTTTTTAAAAAAAACAAAACTTTAAACTATCAAAATTAAAACTGCGTATTATCTCAAATATACAAACCCAATAAATCACATGAACAACGAAAATATACAACGTTAAAAAATTATTAAACTAAACAAATTTTTTTAAAACATACTCAAACATTACTTTAACACAGTTTAAGTTAATAACAATAATGCTCAAAAAAAATAATAGAAAATAAATAAAAAAATATCAAAAATAAAAAAAAATACAGTAAATTAAAATAATCAAAAAAATAAATAAATAAATAAAAATACTATAATAAAACCCTTACCTAAAATCTAAAATAATTACAAAAAAAAAAATTACTAAAAAACCCTTAACAATAAATATTTAAAAAAAAAATACCGGATAACTCCACTTTTACCAAAATTAATCTACAAAAAAAGCACCTAAAAATTCAAATTAAGATGGGTGGCATAAATGCACCACCTATTGAACTAGTAATTAACCATAGCTGTCGCAACAAATTTGGACCAGCAGATCCTCGATTTTGATTGGCTAATGGCCGAGAATCTTCAAATTTTGGCCCATATTACAAAATTGTTTACTAAATTTTAGCCAGAATTAAATTTTTAATTTTTTCATTACAAAAATAGAAGCCTACATTATGGTAAAATTGACCTAGAAACAATTTTCACTTAATAGGCGGCTATGATTTCATTAGTAAAATTATGAGTAATTCTGGCCTAATTTTTTGATTGTCGCTCTTAGCCAATCAAAATCAAGAATTTGCTGGTCCAAATTGTTGCGGCAGCTATAATTAATTCATTAATAGAAACTGCACCAAAACTTTTCTAAAACTTTGAGCAGATATATTTTAGCAACCACATAAACAAATTTGATAATTTTTTTTTATTTGAATTCAATTGATTCATAGAATTTAAATATAAAAATTAGGGTTAGGGTCCCATAGCCTAGTGGTCTAGGCGCCTAACCCTCCACAGACGAGGTTAACGGTTCGATTATAGCTAGTGGTAATTAAATTAATTAGTTATCTCTGTAACCTATGGGAGCTTTCGAATGCGAAACCCTGTGACGATAAGACCATGTGAAGTACTTATTTGGCCTATAAAGAATTCTTGGAA